CGGACCTCAACTCCCAGAATTCCGCAGCCAGCTGGGGAATTCTGGGAGTTGAGGTCCGTCCATCCATCTTAAACTTGCAGAGGTTGAGAAACACTACACTAAAGAAATAAAGCAAATAAAGGAAGCGAGGCTTCTGTCTCTTTTGCCAACCCTGGCTTTAGCGCGCAGAGGAAACCTGCAGAACTTGTTCCCAAGAGACAAATGTTACCTCAACCTCGTCCGTTTTCCGACGTTCCCTCCTTCACTTTTTCTTTCTGGGCTGCAATTCCCGGCCTGGTCTCATAAACGCTGTAGCTCAATTTCACCTCAGTGGTAGCCGCGCGTGCACGCATCTCTATGGTTCCTTCGAACGTAGAGCCTCCGGCTGGAATGTCGACGATCTTTTCCTCCCGGGACGGAGGTCTCTTTTCATTCGCGTCCTCCATGACATCACTAGGCGGAAGCGGAAGCGAGAAACAGGAAGTGCTCGGTGTTTACCAAGACGAGGAGAAGATGGAAACGATTGTGGGTGACGGAGCCTCGCGGGCTGGGACGGTGAGAAATGAGCGTTGATAGAAAAGGGGTGGAAGCACGTTTTAGGGCAACCTGCCCCGACTCGCTGGCCCTCGGACATACCGGGCTGCAACCGAAAGCTGCAGCGCAGCACAGCCCGAGGCGCCGTGTTGGGGAAGATTGTTTGTATTCTGGGGAGCAAGACATTTGGTTTGGCCGGAGTTGCTGTTCTGAATCGGTGACAGGAATGGGGAACCTGGACTGAACTACAACTCCCAGCATCCCCAGCTAGAGGCCATGCGGCCAGGCTGAGCGAGCTGCAATTCGGCAATGCTTAGAAGACCACAATCTTTGTAGAAGAGACCAGTCAAAGCAGATGATGGGGAAGAGTTAGTGGTGAACGGCGGGGAGGGGGGTGAGAGAGAGAATCTCATCCTTTTTTTTGCTTTGCTTACTAGTGTGAGAGTTTAATACGAGAGGGATGGAAAATATAGGTAGATCCTGGAACTGTTAGCTTAGAATAGAGTTTTCCACAAATTACCATGTCAGTTACACTTCCTTTGTATGAGAAATCCCTTTTACGTGGAGCCTCTCCCCTCCTCCCCTTGCATGTTGAGATGTTTTGCCCATTGATGATTATGTGTCATCAAGCTGTTTTTGACTCCTAGCAACTCCATATATATGTTTTCCCCGTGATGATCTATCCCTAACCTGTTCTTTCAAGTCTCCCAACGGTGCGCTCATCACCACGGTAACTGAGTCCATCCACCTTGCTGCTGGTCATCCTCTTCCTCTTTCCTTCCCATGTTATTGTTAACATTATTATTATATATTACATTATATATACATATTATTATCATGGTATTGCTCATGTTGAGAGTGATTTACAACAATAGTTGGTTTTTCTTGGGTTTCATAAACCACTCCATCATCCTTGATCCCTTTATTTGAATTGTCTGCCTATTGTGTTGGGGAGAGGAAACTTAGTGTAGGTTTTTACCACCAAAGTACCTTTTCTCCTGGTACTGTATTGTTAAAGCTCAAGACAATAATTATAACTCGAAAACCTCTGCCTTGAGTCTTTTGATCTCTTGGACAATACAGATGATACCAGATCCTGAGTGACAAAGATAGACAAATTTTGATTATGGTTTTAGACTAGTACAAATAGGACAATGACAGCAGCAAAAACAATAAAAACAGTGGATCCCATATGTCCACCAGGTCAGATCCCCAAAGTGCAAGGCTCCTATGTCCAACCCTGAGCTAAAATACAAGAAGCAATAGAAAACATCCTTAACTGGGTGGGCTCTGTCAAAGTTAAAAGGGAATGAGGCTAAAATCAATACAGTAACATAAGAAAGGAGCAAGCATAAAATCAATGTATTTACCTAGTGCTGCATTCAGTATGTCATCCTGAGTGTGAAACTGCTTTTTATACTATGGTATACTGTAAAGCCATTCATCTCAACACCAGATTTTATTCTTTTTTAATACATGTGGGTGAAATTCTAGATGGTTTCTGACACTTCAGACAGTCCGCTGACAGCAGAAGAGGTTGCTGCCCAAAAGAGAGAAGAACGGCTTAGAAAATTCCGAGAGCTTCATTTGAAAAGGGTACGGTCTCTTTGTGACATTTGGATTCAGATCCCAAAACAGTAAACCTGATAGGGTTGTACCTTTATTAGACCAAAGGGTATTATAACACAGTGCACAAGTACGGAGCAACAATTCAGCAAGAGAGGAAATGGCTTGAAGAGGGGAAGAAGGAAAAAAGTTGGTAGTTGTTCAGGATATAATGTTTGCAATTGTTTTTATTTTATTTTAATTCTGTTTGCCGTCCAGAGTCACTTGTTGAGATGGGCAGCTGTATAAATTGGATAAATAAATAATAATATAAATATATCTCTACTTAGCACAGTCTTAGTTAATACTAGGAGTAGGATTCAGCCATGGAAATTGATCTTATTAGATGCTGAATTACTATCGCTATGTAACAGCACCTTTTCAGGATTGCTGGAAGTGGAAAGAATAGGAAACAAGAGCTGACTACTTATTCTTGGAAGTACATGGTCAATATCTTGAGCATGTCTCCATGGTTAGGGGAAACTTGAGTTCCTTGGCAGATGGAAATCACTAGCCATAAATGAATGTTTTTATGTTACCAAGGCTGAGAAGCGATGTTATTGTACTAGGTTAAAATACTTGACAATAATGGCCAGAACAAATAATATAATGTGGTAACAATCCCACCAGCAGGCAAATTAATCAGCCTCTGCTGCTGGATCTGTTTTTCAATTTTTAATTGCATTGCTATGAGTGTTTAGTATTCACTGGCAGGGTATTATTATTGGTGAAGTTTGTTGCTTCGTTAATTTTATTGCTGCTTATCCCTGACTTGTTTCTGTTTATTATTTATCGATTGCTGATAAATGGGAGATGTCGTTATCTCTTGTTTATTTTTAAAAGCATGAAGCCCGCAAGTTAAATCATCAGGAAGTTGTGGAGGAGGATAAAAGGTTGAAGTTACCAGCCAACTGGGAAGCAAAAAAGGCTCGGTTAGAATGGGAACTGAAAGTGGAAGAAAAGAAAAAGGTAAAACAAGCAAATAATCTGACATGTTCTTTTAAGCCAATTAGAAAACTACATCTCCAAGGTCCGTTCCAAGGTCCACAGCTAAACAAGTCCCTATTTTTAATGCTTTTTCACTGGTTTAATATTAAAAAAATAGCACTGACAGATACAATATTTCTTCTTGCACCATTATTTGAAAGTATTGGCATCTAAATATGATCCTTTTACATTCTGCTTTAGTGTGTGCAGAACATGTGATGTCCATTAATAATCCTCAAAATAATTCTATAAAATATGGATATTTTATTTTCATGTTTTAAATGAAAAGCTGATGTAGCTTGTCAAAGACTAGAATTCCATTATTATTCCAAAAGTGAGATTTCATAACCCTTCATTATTCTTAAACAAGAGGAAAACCACAGCATAAATGGTATTTTTTAAAAAAAATTCTATTATAACATTAGCATGCATCTGTGATTTCAAGAAAACTGTTGTTCTTTAGTGTCATATGCTTGCATAAGCCTACCCAATGAAAATATGATTTAGGGGATGTCATAATTCATTCCTTTTGACAGGGTCTTCTAGGAAGATGTCAAAAGAGGTTGGGATGATTATGGATATTAAAAAAAGAAATCAACAGATCACATATAATTCAGCTGAAGATTAATTATAAGGAAATATAAAATATAAAACCTTAGTTTTAAAAAAGGTCACTGAAGAACATTGAGGATCTATGTTTTAAATTATTAAAATCAGTTTACTATATGCTAGGAATGTATGGTGAAAGGGGAAGATTATGAGAGAGTGAAGCTGCTAGAAATTAGTGCAGAAGATGCAGAACGCTTTGAGAGGAAGAAGAAGAAGAAAAATCCTGATCTTGGATTTTCAGGTAGGGGGAAATCATCCTTACAGTTTTCAAATAGATGTTGAATAAAATGAAAAGTTATTACAAGCAGTGGCCTATATCAGGGGTTCTTGCTGTAGGACTTGACCCTGTGGGTCGTAAGCAATTTGGAAGGGGATCACAAAACATTTTCAGAATTGATCATGGTTGCCCAGCCAAAGTGGGAGCATTGCCAGACCTCTTTCCTGCTTGTCTTGGGCAAGTCCAAAGTGGAGCAAACGCCAGAGCCATCTGTCAGTCATAGCAGTTTTATTTATTATCTGTTATTTTTCATCTTTGTCCGTGAAAAGGGAGTTACACAAACCCATTTACCATTGTGGAGGGAATCACGATATTGCTGAAGTTGAGAACTCCTGCCCTGTATGGTAAACTTTTCCTGTTCACCAGCTAATTTCTTTGTTCTATAGACTACGCTGCTGCTCAATTACGCCAATATCAGCGGCTGACCAAGCAAATTAAACCTGATCTGGAGAAGTATGAAAAGTTAAGAGAAGAAAGGCAAGTAATTTTGTCTCACAGTATTTTTTTTTTATTGTTATGTAGCACAAAGATCTGGAAAAATCTTGGCAAATGAGGTCATTCCCATACACAAGGGCATATGAATCGGAATAATTATTTTGCAGAGATGGTATGAAAATAGAGGGGTAATATTCCTTCTACCTGCTTCAATTTTAAAGAGAATGAGAGAAGTGGAGAAGATTGCAGGGATGGAATTAGAATACAGACTATTAATCAGTGCCACCATAATGGGTCAGACTGATTTTTTTTTGGCCCCAGATTCCTGAGCTAGAGAAATTAACAAAAACATTACTGACAATGTTAAAATTTATTTCCTCTTCTCCCTCCCTCAGTGGTGAAGATTTCTTTCCAACTTCAAATAGTTTACTTCATGGAACTCATGTGCCCTCCAGAGAAGGAGTTGATAAAATGGTTTCAGATGTTGAAAAACAGTAAGTGCCATATTCATAAAAAACCACGTTTAAATTTATTAAACGTCTTCTAGATGCACCTCCTATCATAGACCTCCTGCTGCATCATTTGAGGACTTTGTACTTACAAAGAACAAAGGATCCATCTCATTTTCTTTCCTATTTATTTTTTAAACAATATAATTATCAGGCTTTTGGTGGCAAGGTTTTAAATTGCTTTGTCCTTTTTTAATTTAAATTAAACTGAAAATGTTCTAAGAAATTATATTAATTATAGAACCTAAAGGCAGAGATTGATTGTTTTGGAGTGGATTAATCAAATTGAGTTTTTTATTCCTTTGACCCCATTAGCTGAATATGCAAGAAAATGTTTTTTTCCACTACTGTCTCAAGTGAAAGAGAACACCCAGTACCTCATTAAAGTCTGAATTCAAGATGTAGCTACGTGAGCATAGGCTGAGCATTTCAATTTCTCTTTCAGAATTCAAAAACGTGAAAAATACAGCCGGAGACGCTCTTACAATGATGATGCAGATATTGACTACATTAATGAGCGGAATGCCAAGTTCAATAAAAAGGCAGAGAGATTCTACGGGAAATACACTGCAGAAATTAAACAGAATTTGGAAAGAGGAACAGCAGTGTAGACTGAAAAGTTCAGGAGTCTGGCTTCTCTAAGACCTTTATGTGTAAAATATGCTTTGCAAAGAGAAAGTTAAAACATGTTCTAATACTAGAATGAAACTTGTCCAAGAATATTACTACTCTATCAAAGAAGAGTATGTTAGAAAACAGTAACAATTATGTAATTGTAGAAAACCAAACTATTTGAAGTTATGGTTGGTGAGCCCGTTATTTCATGAAGATGAGAATCTTAAATCACAAATTCCGATGTTTCTTTTAATGTTCCTGAATTTTATTTGAAAGCCATCGCCTTTGTGTTAGTTGATATGTTAATTTTCGTGGTTTGATTAAACTAGGAGCCATAGTGTATAAAACTGTTTTTAAAATGCTCTTGGTATTTTCTGCCTGCTTAAGTGAGCATCTGGTTTACAACAGAGTTAGTGGAGACCCCCAAAAAGTAATGGAATACAAGCAGATATGCAAAACAGGTCCAAGTGGTCTTGACTTTTGTACACCAAGAAAAGCTGTCTTAGAAAGCTCTCTAAAAGTTAGATATTATTTATCTTTAGAAATGTGTGTGATATTGTTCATAGAGGTAGTCCTTGACTCGCGCCCACTTGTTCAGGGATCTCGTACTCCATAGCACCCCTCCCATTCACCCATGTTTCCCAGCGCCCACCTGCTGCCCTTGTACAGCCTACCTGCACTCCCCAGCGCCTGCCCAGTGGCCACCCCCCCCCGTGATCCTTATCTGGGACTCCCACCTCTTCCCACTTAACGACCCATACAATCCTGGGGTTACAGCAGCAACGGGGACTGCCATCACCAAGCGATGCAGTCATGTGATGTCACACTTTATGACTGCATCGCTTAGCAATGGCAGTTCCAGTCCCAGTTGCCGTCATAACCCGAGGACTACCTGTACAGTGAAAGAGGTTTAATCAAAGGATACCACAATGGGGACAACTTTATTATTCTGTTACATCAAAGTCAGGTGTACCCAAATAGAGTCAACTGTGACTGGGCGTAGTGGTGGTGATGAGATAGCCTACTTAGCTTAGCTACAGCCATGATGTTTTCCCAGATTCTTGCCTGTTCAGCTAGTTTAACTGTTCAACTAGTTTAGCTGAACTAATTGGGGTGAGAAAGAGGGCTAGGAGAGACCCTTGTAGCTTAGAGTTATGAAGAGGTTATAGATAATAGAATACGTGGGACTGAAATGGGAGGAAACGGTTATGATTCCCTGTGCAGCTGGAATTTGAAAACAGATCCTACGTTTGTTCACTGATTCTGCCTATTATTGAGCAAGATAACTAGAAACCAAGGATGTGTAAGAAAGAGATAAGCTGAGATCAAGCTAATTATAAGTGCTTTGTAAGCAGATTCCTATTAAATGTTAAGGTGAGGAGAACAGTATATTTAACTTGGCTGTGATGAATGACCTAATACGTTACTACTTTTTTAGTTTTGTGTCTTTGTAAGAACCCACCCTGTATTTTGTAAGGACTGTATAAAAGCAACTCACCTAAAAGGGGGGGGGGGGGCTGCACCTGCTTTGGAGTTTATTCCCAAGCGTCCTTTCTCTGTACAGAATAAAGCTTTTATAAGATCTCTACATCTAGTGTGACCTAATAGGGCGGGGCACACCAGGCTATGAACCCCCAGTGTTCCTGGGACAACAGTGGGGTGAGTGTGAGAGTTCTTTGCTTTCCAAGGACTGGATACACCACAGTGTAGCAGATAACTGTACACAATGCTTTATTATGGCACACACATTCCCCAACAATAGGCTGTTGCTCTGGATTAACTCCATCCTCCTAGGCCTTGCCAGTCGATGCAGCCACGTAAAATCTTTAATGCTTAGTCCTTAAAACAAAAGTCTCCAAGTCTGTAGAGTGGCCTACAACCTTTGCCCTCCTTCCAAAAGTTCTTCCACTTGTTGGAATTAAGTGCTGCCTCAGTGTGGTTGTTTGCTTTGGTTGCTGCCAAGCTCCAAGCTCTGCTCTTAAGCAGCGTTGCTTTTGAGCACTCCAGCTGAGCTACCAAGCTAAGCTCCAGGTAGGAATCCCACCAGGATATGCTGCTTGTGGTCCTGGCAGTTGACCAATAGCGCTCTTGCCTGTCTGTAATAGTTATAAATTTCCAGATGTTGCCTCCTGCTTCCTCATCTGCTTGCTGTTTTCTTATCTCCTTTTCTCCTACACATCCGCATGCACTCTTTGTCTTAGCATTTGCTTTTGTAAGCTAAGGGCCTTGGTGGGGTGAGGCTGCCTCTGGATGTCAGCACGTTCCTGAACACGCCAGCTCTATTTGCCAGACAGCTGTGATGCTGGTGTGGATGTTTGTGAGCCAACTGAGTGGGGGAAGGAATGAATGAGCACATCTCATTTCTGGGGCTGTAAACTTTTATAGCCTTTTAGGAACACATGAACTGAGCCTTGGAGAACTGTGGGTGGGAAGCGTTTCTGCCTGGCTGCAGCTGCTTTTCCCAAGCACGACAGACAGCAATCCCAGGTTCATTTCCTCACAATGAGGGCAAATGAACTGCTTTTAGATCTTCAATGGGTGGTTCCCAAGTTTGAGAGTTAATAATTAACTTTTCTTTGATGAGAAATCTTCGTTACAATCTTTTGCTATACACCAGATTTGAGTGTTCTGAACATGTCTAACCGACTGTCATTTGTGTGTGGTAACCTATTACTATAATGCATTTAATATGGGGCTGCCTTTAGAATTGGTTCCAAAACTGAAGGTGGTACAGAATGGGCTTGATTGACGCCATTTGAAGCACTGTTGAAGTGGTAGTGCCAGCTTGTCTTTAAAGAGTTTGAGGCTAGATTCTGAAACCTATTTTCTTCCACATTGGCTTCTGACTTGTGTTCTGTCAATAGAATCTTACATCTCAGGCAACAGAAAGCCTAACTCTGCTCTGAGGCAAGTGAAAATAATTCAGTCCTGGGTAAGAGTTATGGAAGAATTTTACAGGCTCCTGAAGGTAGATGAACTCAATTTTTTGAAGACTTCTACTTTAATGAAGCCTCCAAACATAAAGGAAGAGTCTGAACACACTGCCTATGGATAGAAATGTTAATTCTCCTTTCATTATATGGCCAGGATAAATTATGAAAACTTGGGGAAATCATGAAGTTGTGCTCAGTATGGTTGAAGATAGCTGATGCCATCTATAAAATATCACAGTTGCTCAGAAGGCATCAGTTCTTACCTGTGAGTGTATGAAGAGAGGTTTCTACTTATGTAATGTGCACTGGAGTGGTAAAAATCTTTAACGCTTAAACCTCTTTTCAGTAGGTTTCTTATCCTTTCTCTGCATTAAAGAATATATGCATACTGCTTAATTCTCTTAAATATAGCATCTCCAATAAAGTAACCAAGAAGTGATCTCTGGTTGATCACAAACCCACTCAAGTAAAGACAGCATTTTTAATTAAGTATTGTGGGACTTCCTTAACTCTAAAGGTTGCACCATTCTAGAATACCTTAAATTCATTTGCTAGATTTGTGGTTGCTCATTTAGACAAAGAGACAAAAGTGAGCACATCAACACCAAGTACTGTACCACCCCTTGGTGAGCAAACTGAAATTTTGTGTCTTTTTGCTATAGCAATAGAGGCGTACGGGGCAGGATCTCACCACTGCACAATACAGTACTTGTACATCTGATTTAGGTCAAGATCAGCAGTGTGAATGAATCTCAGCCATTCTCTGCACCCTGGCTCTGTTTCAACACATTTAGCATTCTCAATTGCAAGGATGCCCATGGGCTCCAGAAAGGCAAAGAACATGGACAGAAAATGTTCATCTAAACAAAAGTTCCCAGACTTACAAAATGCCAAAGGATGCAACAGATGTGTCTTCCATTACTTTTCTGACAAGGGTTACAAGAGGTCTATGGGCTTTAATTTGGATGTATGGTAATGGAGAGCTAAACCATCCCTTTCTTCAAGTGAGAGCAAATCTAAAAGCTTGCCTCCCCTCAATGTATTAATAACTTGGATCCTATACTAACTTACCAAGGGAGACTGTTCACAGGACAAAGCTATTAGTCTTAATCTTCATTTCACTATTAGATCTAGCAAAGAGACAGAAAACCTTTCTCAGCCCAGGGGCCATACTTTCTTCCACACCATCTTGGGGCCGGTGATATCACTTAAGTGGGGGGAGCTGAAATTTTTAGACATGCTTTATTTGAGGTACTTGCAAGGAAAAACTGGTATACCGAATCTTCAAAAAGGTTAACATTCCTTTTGTCCTTTTAAAACTTCCTGAAAAGACAACTTGGACTGATCTGGAAGTTCTGAAGTGTTACTTCTGATACACTATACCTATGCTTTTTAAGGCACCCATGTTACCCCTCAATGCAAAAGCAAACTGATTAATTCCAACTCTGTCTGTTTCATGGGTGGCAAACAACATTCCAGGAGGTTCACCAATACCTTATGGGTAATCCACCCCTGTACTCATGTACTACTTAAGTCTTTTACATTTCAGAGGACAGAGAATCTAATCAAATATGTGATTTGCTGAAACAGCTGTTTTCCCATGTCTTGTTCCTTTGAATAAAAACAGTAAAATTCCATACAATATTCAAATTTTATTTGAAATTCACTATTACAGAAGTTCTTTATGAAAATTGAAAATATGCCACTTGTATAAATTAATCCTGGACTATTTTTGAATGCCATTTTTTCTTGAATGCCATTGTAATGTCATACAATTCAAAAACATTTAGCTATAACACAGTATTTATACAAGCTATGAGATTAAGTAAAGGATAATCAATGGCATATCAAGTACAACCTAAGCGTGCCCTAATCAGCCCTTTCTGCTTGAAGCATGACCTATTTAAATGTAAATGTTATTCCTGTCAAGCTTATTCACAGCTAAGTAAAAACTTTAGATTTCCTATCAGAAAAGTCTTATAAAAGTGCAGGGAGAGTAATTTATGCAGCCTCCACAACAGGCAAGGATTAACATGTCAATACTAGAAGTTCACTGACTGCACCTTTTGTTGCCTTTTGTGCTAACTGCAAAATATAGCAGTATTCTTGCCAAAGGGAAACATACAACTACATAAGTAAACTGAATTACAAGCAGGAGCCATAAATCAGAGTTTAAAGTGCTGACTCAGAAGTAATACAAGTTATAAAACAAAAGTTTATTTGTTCTTATGTTTCATATATTACACACTGAAAACTGCTATCAGATTTATTTCAATAAGATATCCTGTCTGTGACATAATGCATTTCAATCAAGAAGAAATATTTACAGAAAAGCAAAAATCCTACCTGTATTCTTTGGGCCTCTGTGCTCCATTTTCTATCTGAAAAACAAATTCTAGTTTCAAATGAGATAACCTACATTTAAACCCCAAAACTGAGAAATTTCAGATGTCATACTATTTCAGATGCTATTAACCAGAACAGAACTATTAGCGTGCTCTGAAGGTTGTACGTTTAGATGAAATGTTATGAAACAGGACATTTTCCTCATTCTTGACAGGAATCCACTGGCCAATAGGGCCCTCTTTTTTCTCTTCTCTTCCTGAGGATACTACATCTTCAGAATGTAGACTTGCTGATTTCAGGGCCAGTGGCCTTGGCATTATATTCTGAAAAATAAAAATTGTAAGTAGAAAATTAGAACAAGTCTGGATATACACTGCTGTTCAAGCAACTAATACCACCTTGCATAGATGTTTATTCTTACAGGTAGCATACTAAAATGCTGGAATTTCCATTAGAATCGTATTTATATTACTACCCTCTAACACTCCTACAGTATCCTAAAACTGCAATCCTTCCTAAGGATGTCCAATTGCATTAAAAATATTGTACAAAAATAATGAGTTTTTGTATCTCAGAAATTACATGAAAGGCAAAAATCACAAAATCTTTGCCATATGAGTTGGTTAAATAGTTTGCTTTTCCAGTTGCACAGAAATGAAGTTTCTCCTAGAGGAATATACTTTGCACATTTTCAAATTAAAGGGGACACTCCTTTGTATGCTTACTTGGGAATAACTCTCCCTAAATTTAATTGGGCTGGCTTCTGAACAGAGCGGTATAGGATTGCAATACAAGCTATACAAAAATTGGTAATCAGCTTCTTCCTTTCAGATGAACGAACTCACATTAGGACAAAGAGTAACGCCCTTCGTTGCAGAATTCATCTCAATTCCATTTCTCTCATCTTCTGTTTGTTTGTTGGTCTGCTAAGGAGAAAAGGTTTATATCTTAAATTACTGCCACTTAAATAACTCAGCTAAGGTTCTGCTCTAGCCTCTGAATAAACATGCAAACATTACAATTGCTAATCTGAAAATAATTCTATTAGGCTTCCGAATAAGAATTACTGGGATTAAGAAGCAAGTGCAGACAAACTGCCGCAATTTATGTTCATGTTTGCTATTTTCAGTATGTTCTTCTTAGATTCGTACCCATCCCTAAATTTTAGATCCTTTGTAAAACATTAGATTAATGAAAAGGGCACGCTTTATTAAGGATTATATTTTGTTATTTCCTACTAAAGAAGAATGAGGAAAATACTTTCAAAATCAAAAAGGCAGTTCCTAATCTTTCTTTCAATACCTAAAATATAATGTGTATACTATCTTACCACTACCTAACATCACTGCTTAAGAAAATAAGTTTAGACTCTTAATTTGTTCAATTTTATGTAAATGTTTTCCAACCATTTCAGACTAATTTGAGTCCTACTTCCCTTCCCACGAGTCAGAGCTATAGCCCACAATCAATTACCAACAGTTTTTCTTCATCAGAGCTGGAGACCATATTCATGATTTCTATAAGACAGAAATAAAGCATGTAAAATGTGCTGTGTGTTTGGATAATGGATTTCTGGGAACAATGTGTTCCGTGACATTTTGATAGGTACTATACTCTGTTTAAAGTTTAACATCCATTTGATATAGTGTGTCTCGGTTAATATGAAAAATAGAAGGGACAATTAAAAAAAATATTCAGCTTTATTAGTAGGATTCTTACTTTAAAAAAAAAAAACAGAACTCAGATGATTCCACAATTACATGGTAGCTAAGATTTGGTATCTAGAATTTGTTGCCAAACTCCAGAACTCAATTTTCAAAAGGCATATTTTTCAATTATGAAATAATGCAATATTTATTTTTTCATGGGGCCCTTACAAAAAAGTTTATTTTCAGTATCTGAGATCCTGTTTCATATTTACCTTAAAATCTAAGTTGTTCTCTTTTGGCTTTCCATTTTCATTGGATTTTGTATCAATTCTTAAACTGGCTGGCAAGACTATTTCTTTTCCAAATGTTTTAGCTGCATTAGCCTTTGCTATTTCCAGTAGTTCTCTCTTTTCTATGGAAAGAAAGTATTTAAAATAAACCAATTTCTCATTCAGAGATCAGTTTTACCCCTACCCCCATACTTATTGAGAGGCACTAACATTCCCTCATCAGTTTCATTTTAATACTTTATATTCCTTTCGTTCTTTCACAAACAGGTAGTCATCGATTTACGACCACAATTGGGACCAAAAGTTCTGTTGCTAAGCGAGGCAGTCATAAAGCAAGATGTTACATGACTGCATCACTTAGTGACAGCAATCTCGGCACTCCCCGTTGCCAGATGTTACATGACTGCATCACTTAGTGACAGCAATCTCGGCACTCCCCATTGCCATCATTAAGCAAATTCCACTGGTCATTAGCCAAGGACCAACCCCAATCCAAGCCGTTCTGGGCTTGGTCCCTCCTAGCCTTGGTCCTCAGCAAGGTACGGGACTGCCTCCAACTCCCCCACCCATCTCTGCCCTTTTAGGTGCCCTGCACCCTGCCTTGCGGGGCAGCAAGCTGCCCCAGAACCACACATCTCTCAAACTGCTTGTCATGCTGCAGCTGAGGAACTTCTTGGCGCTCCTTCCCCCTCCGCTCACTCGCATGCAACCCTCCTTCCCTCGCTCAAGGACTCCCCGGGGCACTTCTGGCACTGAAGTAGCGCTCCAGGGGCACTTTTGGGTGCTCAATGACTCTCCAGTGGCACTTACAGTACACGCTCTGCAGCTCACGTTGGAAGCTGCTGACTATGAGGCTTTCTCCTTCCTTCTGCAAAGCCTTCCTCCTGCAAAACCCTAGAGCTGCAGTGCAAAGGGGGCACGATGTGTACGAGCGAAGGAGGGTGCAGTGCATGTGTGCAAGTGAAAGGAGGGTGCTGGTGCGTGTGAGCGAAGGGAGGAAGGAGGGTGTGATGCAAGTCCAGGGTGGGTGGGGGAGACTTGACTTCCCCTGCCAGCTTTCCCATTGACTTTGATTGTGGGAAGGTGGTCAGGGAAGGTTGCAAATGGTAATCACATGATCGTGGGTGTTTGGCAACCTGTCATAAGTGCGAATGGGTTGCCAAGCACCCAGATCACGATCATGTGACTGCAGGGGCGCTGCAACAGCCATGACTTCGGGGACCAGTCATAAATCCATTTTGTGTAACTTCGAACAGTTGGAGTTACAACTGGTTGTAACTTGAGGACTAACTGTATAACAAGCCAAGGCAATAACTTTCCAAAACCACCCAATGATTCAACAACTGCATTGTAATTTGAAGACAGGAACCTATCAAAAGCCACTCAACCACAAGGGTTCTGGCATATACGTTCTCCTTTCCAAGATTTGCCACTTTTACCTATAAAGTACATGTTGTAAGACACTTCAAATATTGCCATTTTCATATCTGGACAAAGAATTTTCCAAATAATTTGGGAATACTTTTCTGACTACCCAAGATTCTTTCCCCTAAATACCTTTTTCTGTCAAGCGAAAAGGAGTCCTACTGCGAGATCTTGTTCGGGAACGGCTTCTCCACCTTCTATAAGCTTCGGGACATATGGTTCTTCCAAACCTATAGTATCCTCGGCTTCTTGATCTACTTCTGGAGTAAGACCTTCTATAGTATGATCTAACAGGAGATCGGCTCCGTGATCGATATCTTGGAGGTGAGCGAGGATATCTTCTGTAGTATCTAGGGTGGCACCTTTCTCGATATCTGTAGTTGCGTGATCTTGAGCGGCTCCTGGAATAAGATCTTGAGTATCGTCTGTATCTCCGAGAACAATTCCTTTTAGCACATGACCTTGATCTGCTCCTTGACCTACTCCAGCTTGTGGAGGAAGATGAAATACTTGAACTAGATCTTGAACTATAAGATGAATCACTGGATGGTACTGAGGAGGATCGCTTGCTACAGCTGCTTCTTGAACATGAAGGAGATCTCTCTTTAGGTGAGCTCAGAGTCAAGTCATCCATGAACCCTGTCATCTCATCTGTCCTCTTGCTCTCTCTCTGCTTTTCAGAAATTTTAGAACACGCACCTTCTGCTTTCTGCTGTCCAGTCCCAATTACTTTTGTTTTTTGATACCAAAAAAAAAAAAATATTTTTTTTTGCATTTTAGAAAAGCCGCGACACTATAACTTAATTATTTCTTCTTATGTATTTCTGACCTGCCTTTTTCCATGTTCAGTTTTATAACCACCACTGGAACTATTTTCCAGTTTTACTCAAATCCTAGCAATAAGTATCTATTTATGAGGCAAGCCTAAGCAATTTATTGGACACCTGTTTCACTAGTAACACAAAACAGCAGGATTAAAATTCTTGCAGCAATATGTACCCACAAAGATTAGAATTCTTAATAGTCAAAATGCTGCTGTTACATAATAAGCGGCCATTTTAGCAATACACACAATTGCTATGGAGTCCATCCTGCTATAAACACAAGTCACCAAGTCTCTTCCCTTATTCCCACCAATTACAGAATTTCAGGCAACTACAAATATTTTAGCTATCAAGAATTAACCACAACATAAGCCAATTCTTTAAAAGAATTTACCATCAAGTGCTTCAGAAATCCCTTTCTTCTCACAACTTCCATGAATTTGGTGAGGATTCCTGTAAACGAGTTTAAGATTCTGAATCAGATTTATAACAAAATCAGCCTCTTCCTACTGCAGACATTAGTATTTCTCTCAGAAACAGCATATTGAGATATATGTATTTCATTAGCACTCTAATGAAATGCATCGTAAGGTCTCACTAACTTTAGTGTAAGCATTCAAGCACATACCTTGACCTGGTATAAACAGTACATGGGAACAAATCAATTATTAATAGAGTTCAGCCGTATAATTCATCTAAATTAACAGTGCATATTCTTTAGTACATGTGCACTCCATCTACCTGCAGTACTAGCTCATTTAAAATAAAAATCATTATCAAATTAACAGGCTATCTATATTTGCACAGTATACCAAGCCACGTTAACCACACTGGCTAAATTTGCACAACACTGAGCTACAAAGCAACCATGAGTGATATGCAAACCCAGCCAGCACAAAACTTCATATATTAACCAAACTTTTGGCTAGATGATCCTTAACTTCCCTGTGTTAAGCTCCTTACATCTTTAGACATAAATCTACTTTGGAAGTATTTATTATGAATGAGCCACTGAAACATATCAACTTTATAGTGTGTATAACTACACAATATACCTATCACATAAGCCACCTTCCTGCCCAACTGATTTCCAAAGCTGTTTACAGCAAACTAAAGAAGCTCAAGTAGCTTAGAGTGCTTAGTAATTAGAATTTAACCATTTTTTTCTTCTTGCCTTCAAGTTAGCAATACTTTTACCAAACCCTCTCTACCTTTTATTATGGCAAATATGCTCAGTGCCTTTGGTTATTGTTTTAAACATACTGTACTCATTAGGAAAAACGTCCAAGACCAGAAGGGCCCAAGTTTAAAAAAAACGGGTACACTGCACTGCTATGAACATAATCCAATGCTCCTCCAAGTTTACAGTCAAATAAAGAGGAGACTACAACAAAGGGAATAGAGGAAGAAATTAGCTACATCAATATTTGTTTAGCTATAGACCATTAAGAAAAAAATCTGTAATTTGCCCATTAAAAACTGACAGCAGCAGAAATTAGGTACAATTTCTGTACAAAAACAATTTATATTATTTTTCAAAAAACCCAAACAGGCTTGGATACAGGATTTCCAAATAAAGATTTGGAAGAAGCTTATTACAGCCAGTGACCGGTATATAAGGATTTTACAAAACAAACCAAGGTCCACGTGAAAAAGGTGGGCTGTGCAGGGAGTTTTTAAAGAAGGAAAACCCAATACAGGTTTCCACACACTTCGAATCAGCTTCGGCCGATTTTTATAGAAAAGGCTGGCCAAAGAGAAGCTCAGGGCGAGCCTACCTCATCGCCTGTCAGAAACAATTTACATCCATGACAATAACTAGGTGATGCATAATCTTCTCTCTTCAATATTTAAACACAACCATCTTGATGCCCTGAAAGCCGCGCCCTGTATTCCCGCGCCCCGCTTCTTGGGAATGCAAACCGGCACCTCCATCAGGCCTTTAAGTGTAGCGCTAATCCTATTTGGGGGGAGCGGGGAGCGTGCAATTAGATCAGGGTTAACGTTGGGTAGACGTAGCCTCCCGTCCGAAACAGAACAATATTGACTTTTCTTAGGTCCAAGATTCAAAGTAAAAAAAAGAAAAAAAAAAAGCCGGACAGGACTCACTGGTGCCAGTCGGATGGCTCCTGGCTCCGCGGAGGTCCCTGAGGGGAGAGCTCTGCTTCGTTGGTCACCGCCATTAGAGTAAGGAAGCGGAGACGAGGAAACGCCTGAAGAGACGCTCCGAATTCCGCACGCCAACAATGAAATAAGTAAAAAAGCCCACTCGGTTGTCGGTCAAGGCGCCGCTCGCGACTTCTGGGGGGGAAAAGGCGCGTTCAACTGGTTCTCTGTCGGTAACCACTGCCAGGTCAACCACCTCCTTCGAGCGCCCGACTCCAACTGAGGCGACCAGAAGCTTCTCGAACAGCTCAGCGAAGGGCGGGGCGGGGCGGGGCGGGGCGGAGCGCGCGCTCATTGAGTCCCAATGGCGTCATTGCGCAGGCGCTACCGCGTGGGCAGGGCCTGGCCGGTCACTATAGAGACAGGGTACTAGTCCCTCCGCCTCCTCTGCTTTCTCCGCTACAGTATTTCATCCTAGGGCTGTCGGGAGTGGCTTTCTTAGGTCCCGCCTCCAAGCCCAAGCGCATTTTCTTCCGGTTAGATGCTTTCAATCCTGTTGGCATTTCAGAAAGCTTTAAAACGTGGGAGTTTACTCACGCGTGGGGGTCAGGAGGTTAACTGAGCCTGTGAGATTGATGGGAATGTATTGATGATTTCTGTTTGTTTGTTCTCGGCCGCTGTTATGCATTTTACATTATTCTTCCCTTGCACTGAGAGCTTAACCCTATGTTAGCCGCTCTGAGTCACTATGGTGAGATGGATGGCCATATAAATCGATTAAATTATTAAATGAAATAAGGTCAACTAGATGGCAGGTCTTAGGTTCTGCAAATATGGTCTGTGGGTCTTACTTGGGCCACTTGGTTTCTCTGTCTGCATTACCTCCCCCTCTTCATTGTAAAGGCAACGTTTCCCTACCATGCGGAGAAGGGGAATTCGAGATGTTGACTGGCTGATAAGAATGTATTTCCTCCCTAAGAGACAGGTCCAGCCCCAGGAATCGAGTAATGCTGGATGAAGACCGAATTGGCCACAGAAAAATGGGTGGAAATCAGAATAAATTTTGCACACCGTGCCTCAGCGCAGGACTAAGAGGGAGAAAAAAGGCCTACATCAGAAAGACTGGCACAAGAGGGCTTAAAAAGGGGGCTGGGAAGGAGATAAGGCCAGCTCTGTGTGAGCAAAGGGGATGTGATGTGCTCTGATGATCAGATGGAGAAAAGGCCAAAGCAGCTGTATGAATGGTTCATTCAAGAAAAAAAGAGCATTTGATTACCTTACCCACACGGAAAACAAAAGAAAGAAGGGGCAAACCTGCAAAAAAGTGTGCTTTCAATCCTGTATATGCTCCCTTGGGAGGAAGCCCCTCGTGGGTTAGAAATTAGGAATCTTTCCGGAACGCATCGCACCTTCCACCTATCATCAGGGTCTTTCTTAAGCGTAAAAAGCATTGGCGGGGGGGAATTGTCACTTTAAAAAAACACACACACAATTTTGCCTCCCAGGCTAGATCTGAGCCTGACATAAGCGAAGTGTTTCTCGGTGGTTGGATTTTTGCGAAAAAAAGGACTCTCAAAACACAACCAGAGACAACCGACTCCGTTTCGGGCTGAGCGCCTGCGCAGACTGCAGCTGAGCGGCCGAGCCGACCCCGCCAGTTGGCAGCGCATGCGCATCCCGAAAGCCCTGGCGCAAGCGTGCTCTCGAGAAGGCCTGCGCGCGCACGAGTGGACGAGCCGAGTCCGCGCGTGCGGAATGGAGGCGCCCTGCCTGCGGCTGCGGCCTTTCGAGCATACGGGTTCCTAAGCCGGCCCCGCTTTTGTTTACTTCAGGGAGGAGGCGGGGTTAGCGCTGGCAACGCCCGCAGTCAGCTGAGCGCGGGCCGCGGCAGCTTCTCCCTTCGGGCCGGCTACCTCTCCAAGGCGCTTGAGGGGCGGTAAGTGGCGAGGAGACCGTTCGGCCTCCAGCGAAGGGTCTGGGTCGGCCCAAGAGGGTCGCAGCCCCGGCGCCGACCGGCGTGGGTGTGTCGGGGGCGGGAGAACCGCGGGTCGCCCGGGCGACTTTCCTCAGAAGCGGGGGCCTGCGCTTTTAGAGAGCCGCGCTTCCGCGTTCCCACGACGCGCTTAACTCGGGGACCGAATGAACCCATTTGGGGGGTTCGCGCGATGCGTTGACCCAAACGGTGCACCCCGGGAGCCGCACCCTCCCAGATCACCGGTGAAAGCTAACTGAGCGTAGTGTGTTGTGGGAATGCAGACTTCCACGTTTCTAAGTGATCTGAGTGCGTGGGGTAGCGTGGCAGCCTCGGAGGAAGGCTGCTGCGTACTCGCAAGCAAGACCCGCAGAGTCCAGTGGGTGTGTTCAGTGTCTAGTTTGGCAAAGCACACCCGAGGACAATCTTAGTCTAGCCCAGTGTTTTCAACCTCGGCAACTTTAAGATGAGTGGACTTGAACTCCCAGAATTCCCCAGCCAGTCATGCTGGCTGGGGAATTCTGGGAGTTCAGGTCCACACATCTTTAAAGTTGATTAGATTTCAAAACACTGTTCTGTTCTGTTGTGCAAACCCAACCCGTGAGGAGACTTTATGATTCAGTAGCTGTGATTGCCTGGTATATGTAATCATGATTGAATTGGGATTTTCTTGCAGTAACGCTATTTTCTGAGTTGGCCTGACACACCGAACCACAAACTACACTAAAATGTGGTAGGTAGGTTTGTAATGATGTATGTGGTGTGGACCTAGAACAGTGGGTTCATTGAATTAAACAGCATGCTTTTTTGAGTGAAACAGGATATGTGAGCTGTGGTCTTCTTGTGGTAGGAAATGGGGTGTTCTATCCACACAATAAAACCGGTATAGAAAACTAAAAACTATTTCAGTGGAGCCATGTGAGATCAGTAGTCTTAATTGCTATGTATTTGGGGCAACTTAACTTTGACCTGTGAATACCGCAGAGTTCACCAGCTGGGCTGTTGAAGTTGCCTTGCAGAAGGATGTTTGAAAAGTGGAAATCTAGTTGGTATTGGAGGTTTGCATTCCTGTGTCATTTTGTTGATATGCAGGCCAAAGTTTGTATTCATTTGGGATAACTTCCACTGTATTGTGTGATAAATCATCTGTTTTTGTTAGGAAAAGCAGATTGCCAGTGGTAAACAGCAAAGGTTATAGTCAAGTCCATCTGGAGACTAGCAGAGCATAGCTGAGATATGTGTTTCAGCACCTCTGGATTTATCTCTGTGTATGCGTACTTCATATATGCCTAAAGGTATCTGTCACATTTTTATACGTATCTTGGATTCTAACACTTTGAAAGCAGTAAATACAGCTTTATTTATTTACTTTAGCCCATTAAAAACCATGCATTTAAAACAAAGCAAAACCAGAGAAAGAGAAATTACATTCATTTTTTCTCCTAGGTTTTTCAGAGCACTGAAATATGTCTGGGTTCCTTGAAAATGTTAGATGCTCCGAGTGTGTTGACTGGGGAGAAAAGCGAAATACAATAGCTTCTATCGCAGCCGGGGTGCTGGTGTGTATATTTAATTCTTATTTGTATTTTTTTCATGCCTTGCCTTGGTAGGTAATATAAGCAATATCTTTATAGTTATCCTATGAATATTTTATATGCGTAGTATGAAAGAATCCATAGGTCCACACTGAAAAGAAACAAATTTATTGATCTAGTTCAGCAAATTTAGAATGGAGCTTATCCTTTAATATTCTTCTATAAACATATTGTTACTTGTGGTCAACAAAGTGTTCGTGCTTATCGAAATCTTTTCTCAGAGTTTCTGGAATATTGTCACTTTGATGTCTAGTAGAGTAGTGATAAAAGATTTATAAGCATTGTGTTGATGATGCTGATAATGGAAACGTGTTCAGTTTTTTACAGGTTGGTGGATTATAATAGATGCAGCTGTCAAATACCCAGATTCAAAACAGTTCAACCATTCATACCATGCTTGTGGAGTTATAGCTACAGTTGCATTCCTAATGTAGGTAACATTTCCATCCCAATGTTAAAAATATTTCTTTAGAATTTGTGTTAAAATGTATGTTCAAATCTACTACCTAATATTCAACAGCAATTGAATGTTCTGTAGTTTAATCAGAATGTATAATATACTCTGTACATCCAAACCCTGGATTCATTTTATTATGGGGTATAGCTACCTTAAAGTAAATGATTTTTGTGGGAAATGGGCTGAGTCCGCTTGGAATTTAGGTAGAACAACATCTGGAAGGCCACATATCATCCATGATTGTCCCAGTTTCAGATTAAAATTCCTCCTTGGGGACCAGTATGCCATAGTAGTGAAATATTGGGCTCCGAAGTGGCAGAAGTCTGACTTCTGCCATGAAAACGTCAGGTGGCACTGGCAAGTTTTTGCCTTTAGCCTTCTTCCTTCTGTAACTTAGGGATAATAATTCTGGTCTGCCTCATGCTGTACTGCAAGAACTACAATAATATAATGCAAAGTTAATGAGCATTTGAGATACTTAGATATGCCATTCAGAAATACTAGAGAAGGTGTTAAATTACTGAAGCTGTTTATACTTGTCTGGAGGGAGGGGGGAGTCATCTTTTATATATCTTCTTCTTTTTCTTTCTTTATCTCTTCGTACTTCTCTTTTTTCTTTTTTTACTCTTTATAATTTCTTTAGGTTGTATTAGTCTTTTATCCTTGTACTTGAAAACTCTAATAAAAATTATTATAAAAAAAGATATGCCATTCAGTTGCTGAATTCGCAATACCTGAACATGCCAAATTCCATTCTGTGTTATTCATGTAGGATCAATGCTGTCTCCAATGGTCAGGTGCGTGGGGACAGTTACAGTGAAGGGTGCCTTGGGCAAACAGGTAACATATTTTCCCTCTCATTATTCCTATTTGTGTCACAATCAAGAGAAAGCTATTTTTTAAAGAAATACAGTGGGCCCCTTTCCCATCCGTTTACAAATTCATTTTTTGCCACGGAAGAGAAGTAGCAGCTCTCCTTTATTCTGTTGATTTAGCAAGTTGGGATATAATATGCCTGATTTTACTGAGAAAATTCAGCTGCCTTTTGAATTTTGAAAATATCTGCCATTTTATTTTCTCATATACATTTTGAGGCCTGATTCTCCTATCTTAAGCAATCATGCTTAATATGTCTTGTACCCTCTGCTTCTGGGAGACTGTTTTAAAAATGGTTTCCAGTAGTTAACTCCTAGGCTACCTATATCTTTATGTAGCCATTCTAGTTACTCAGGGGATTCAAGATAGGTCTTCCTGGCCCAGTATTAGATTCTCAAAATATTCTTTTGAGGAGATGTAGTGAAAAATGCTTGTTTTGCTAAAGAGATGTGTTTGAAAACATGATGTACCACATTTGTACAATTTGGGGGGAAATGTATTGTAAGTGTTTTGATCATAGAATATTCCTAGCATTCCACAGGTATGTATCAAGCACAAGCAAGGAAATCTGTTTGTGTCATATGGCAAAAAAAGTTGAAGCTGCTTGTTTTAAAAATAATGTGTTTATGTTTGTACCCATTAAGGTGCTCGTATCTGGCTGTTTATCGGTTTTATGTTGGCCTTTGGATCCCTGATTGCATCAATGTGGGTCCTCTTTGGAGGCTATGTTATTAATGGTAGGACAACTGCATGTGAAATAACATTGAATTGTAGTCTTCTCTGGAAAAGGACTATATCTTTTTTTTTCTGTGAAGCTCTTCTAAAATTCCATCGTAAATAAGAAATCATGGCACTGTATAAGTCACAGTGAAATCTGCCCTCCTCTTACATAAAAATTGGGCCCAAGACATTCCTTTCCTGGAGGCTCAACACAGTCATAGCACTGTTGTTTTTTTCTTTAAAAGCTTCCATCTAGGTAATGTTTACACAAACACCAAATCTAATATATTTATTGCATAAGCCACAATGGGCTGAGTTTTAAATATTCACAAATCGTACTGTGCTTTAGTATGTCGCATGAACATGGCTTCAGAGAAGCCTTAGTTGTGAAGGCTCATTCTGAACATCTTTGTTGAAACTATGTAAAAAATACATTTTTTAGAATGTGATCTTAGGCATATTTGCAGAAGTGATTTTCCCTCACAGAGTGAGACTTGCTTTGAGGAGGAGGATTATTTATATTCTGTCTTTCCCCCAGAAACGTAGGGTGCACGTAGCACCCCCTCCTACATTTTTTTACCATGCCATTATCCCTTTGAGAGGGGCTAGGCTAAAAGGCAATTAGTGCCCAAAGCCACCAAGTGAGTTTCTGTAGCCATAGGTAGATTTGAATCTCTTTCCCGAATTTATAGGCACCCAGTATAGTACGAGTGCGAAAGCTGGCTTGAAACTCAACATTAAAAAAACTAAGATCATGGCATCTGGACC